CCACCACCCACTTGGGTACCACGTGCATCGGGCTGGCTGCCAGCAGCCGCTTCGTGCTTCACACCAACCGACACGGGCAGTGCGGGCAGGGGTTGCACGCTCCCAGGGTGCAAAGTTTAAGACAATGATCTGTGGCAGGAAAACTGGAAAGAGCTCCTTGTTTTGGTTACCCTGGGGCTGAGGAGTTTTCCCAGGAACACGTATACTAACCTGGGCGTTGTCTGTACCAGAGGTTTTCGAGTTGCCCTGAAGGTGACAAAAGCTGTGACTGCCGAGAAGAGCACCCAGATTACCAGGAACCGCCACCAGTACAACTTGATCGTGAAGTACAGAGGCACTACCCACATCTGGAAGAGGGTCACCATCTGCAGGAACAGAGAAAAGGCATTTTGAGCTGGTTCTCTAGTCATCAGACAACAGAAACACCCTGTCAGTCCTGGCAGCTGTTCCCCTGCCTGCATCAAAGGGCCCCAAATAGCACCAGGAAACTCGGGAGGTTTGGTCTGTGGCACCCAGAACTCAGAGAAGAGGCTCAGAGCCTGACTGAGGGAGGTGGAGGCAGTAGCCAGGCGATCTTTGGTAGCAAAGGACTAGCGGTGGAGGGAGAACGCAGGGGAAACATCTCCAGAGGAAGGTACAGGAGGTGATCCACCTAACTAGCTGTCATAAGGTGGCTATATAAACCTTCGCCTTCCCAAGGGTCCCAAACACTGCAGCCACAGACAGGTCAGGCAAGCATTAAACAAGGAGACGGGCGCAGTAAAAGGTTTCAGACTCGCCTCTCCCTACAGCCTATTCCCAAAAGGGACCTACGGCCATCCAGCTGAGCTCCTGTGGTGCTGCTGGAGGGGAACAGGCAAATGGGTTCGGTTTAAAGTTCATAGAGGATTACAGGTATTGCCTGGAAACATTCATTATGATAAGGAAGTCAGAGTGAGGTTGGTTCAGGTAAAATAACAGTCCCTGACAAGCCAGCAGCATCAGTAAGAGGCAGGTCTGCTCAGCAGACAGCACTGCCGGGCAACCCCCATCGTGCTGCAGGAACCATCAAACCCAGGGTCTCGGCAGCAAGAAGCCCCCATTGCTTCTGAGGAAGCACCCACGAAACGCAGCTTCCCTTTGTGTTACCCTCGGGACAATACCCGAGATCTGCTTGTCCCATCACCTGATGCCAAAGCACTATGTAAAATCGAGTTACTGGCATCACTTATAACAGAAACTCGAGGCCTCGAGGCACATCCATCCTCATACCTATCTAGAATCCCCACACGCCGCTTGGAAGACGAGGGCATCTCAACACCAGACAAGAGGAGAAAAAAAGGAACACATTTCTCATCAGCTAAAGGGTGGCATCCAGCCTCGGAGACAAAATGGCTGTGTGGGAGACACTTACGTTGTAGGAGCGAGGGTGCCTCTGTTTCCACTGAACCAACAGGAGCTGTGCCACCACTAGCGTGGCGATAAGGATGAGGACCATTTCGGCATGCATAGCCTCGTGACCACGGTGCTTGGCATGCATCCGTGCATGCTCCACCCTGCAACAACAGGGAAAAGGCGACTGAAGAACATGCGGGCACAGACCACATGCTAACAGCGTGGCAGGGCTGACAAACACCTCGGCAGGGGGGAGCTGGGAAGACCAGACCGAGAGACAGCAGGAAGGAGCACTGCGGAGATGGGTGCTGTGTTGCAATCCAGAGGAGAAAAGACAAAAGGCTTCTCTGAGACCAGCTCATTCTGAAACGGTGAAAGCCAAGACTGCCATCCAGCCCATCCTGGCGCGAACGAGGCAGAGAGAACTCACGCTGACGTACCTGAACTAACGAACGTGGAGAGTACGTTTCATGTAACTCAGCCGGCAGCTCACCGGTGCAAGAGCATCAGCTGAGCAGCTGTTTGACACCACAAGTCTGCACTAACGCTCAGGACCAAACCCTCAGTCCAGTTTCAGAGCCATCAGCACCATCCTCCCTCTTGCCCAGCAAGGGAAAGGCTGGATAGGTACGGGGGGCACGGTCTATAGCACACAAAACCCACAAACCCAGCAAATTCCTTCTCGCTGCCCTGAGCAGCCCCATTGGCATCCTAGAACAAGGGATTTCCAGACTGATGCTCTATAGAGCCCCAGGGTTTCTTTGCAGCTTGTGCTGTTTGACCAAAAACCAAGGCAGAATTAAGACTTGTAACACTCTTACATCTTGGTCTTAAGTTGACAAGACAGTTCAAGTTAGGGAAAAAAAATCCAAACCTGACAAATATACCAAATTCTCTGATCTTAAGTCATCCTCTAGGAATTAATATCGAGAGAAGACCAGTCTTACTGTGCTTATCAACATGTGTCTGGCTGAAGTTGGTTTGGGTAAGGGAAAAGGAGGAATAACTAGCAAGCAGTTTAAAAGAAAAACATTAGTATTGCCTTTTAAGACAGTTCCTACTTCCCCCTAACAAATCACGCTGCGCAGGGAAGGCTGACCCCGTCCTCTCCAGCCACGGATACGGGCTGTGCTGCTGGGAGCTCTGGTCAGGAGCAGGAGCTCGCTCAAGCTATAAGCACCGGTTCACCTCACAACACAGACTCACCTCCATCTCTCCTCTGGGGACAAGTGTGAAAGATCAACCTGGGGAGAAAAAAAAAACACCAAAGAAATCAGCTACTGAGGTTTGGGAGGAGCAGTACCCACCTAGAACAGATAACTTGTTTACTTCATCTCCCCAAACAGTGCAGACGCTGGTTTATGGCCCGCAGGAGCAAGGCTGTGCTGTGCCTACACTGCCTGTTCACCGCAAGTAACGCTGACACGGCACCTGGCTCCTTTATCTCCCGGTGAGACCCCATCAGTGCCGACAGCAGCGGCAGAGTCAGCCGCAAAGCCATCCTGTGAGACCCCCTGGATTGCTCTTTGGGAGCTTCAAGAAAGCAAACCCTGGATTCAGAAGCTTTTAACAACAAATCCTTGATGTGCCCATCGTGACACACGGGATTCCAAAATCCCACCGGTCTACAGGACAGGAGATGGCGTCTGCATATCAGCAACAAACTATCGCCAAAAAGATTTTCAGAAAGAATCATGGAAAAAGAAAGATTTAGGACTCGCTTTGCTGACATGGCTGGAAGTTTCTCCCAAGCGTTACAGGCAGCAAACTTCTTGCCTGACAGGAGCAACTGAGAGCGATGGGAGTTGCTGTTATTAGTGACGAGAGACGATGGACTGGTGTAATCCATGATTAACGCAAGCTCAAACTGCCAGGCTGGACGCAGGGTGTTAAGGACATCCTCTGTCTAACAGGTTTAGGGGACAGAAGGAACAGGACTAAGTGATTTAAAAGCCTGCCTCGGCAGAACTGTGAACTACTCTGGGCTAACCTTCTCAGCTTGCAAGCAAGCAGCACCCAAACCTCACCCAGAGGTCAAGTCTCACAGAATCCCCTGTTTCCTGAAGTGATATCTGGTGTGAGTACCCTCACCACGAGGCATTTGGACTTGGGAGGGGTGGGGGGACCTTTGACATTGCATTTCAGCTTTCTCTTGGAGCTTTACAACCTGAAAGGCGGTTGTAGCGAGGTGGGGGTCGGTCTCTTCTCCAGAGCAACAAGTGACAGGACAAGAGGAAAGAGCCTCAAGTTGCGCCAGGGGAGGTTTAGATTGGATATTAGGAAAAATTTCTTCACCAAAAGCATTGTCAGGCACTGGAAGAGGCTGCCCAGGGAAGTGGTGGAGTCCCCATCGCTGGAGATGTTTAAAAGCCATGGTTTAGTGATGGGCTTGGCCATGCTAGGTGGACTCAATAATCTTAAAGGTCCTTTCCAACCTGAACGATTCTGTGATTTTCTATCTTCACGTAAGAGCTGAAGAGACCTCCAGCACCAGTCGCGTCCCTGCACAGGCTCACTGGCCAGGCAGTCTTCGTCCCAGCGCCAGCACAAACCCTGACACGCAGCGCTAGGGATGCAGCAAACGAAATCCCGCAGCTCTGACTTCACGTCACCTTTCCTTGGTGAGATGCAAACACAGATAAAACCCACAGTGGAAACACACAGTTTACAAAACCCCATCTGGCTGGAGACCCTCCAGCATGGCTGAGGGGCCAGGGACAGTGCTCTCGCTGGCTGCCAGTGCTCTCCGCGACACAGCCGCAGCCAAGCGCTCAGCTGGCCAGCCCCAAATGACCGGCACCCAGCACTTACCAGCAAGCAGGCATTGGGTCATAAGAAGAGAGATGGAAAACAAGTCAGAGCAAGGACTTTGCTATCACACTTTCCTGCACACACCGAAGATGTGTACACAGGAACGCGCTCCACGTCACCCCAGCCTCCCATCACCGGGTACGGCGCCGC